GGCTGGCACCCTGCTCGCTGAGCAATGGGCGCTGAGCCAATCATGGTATTATTTATAATAAAGACCCCCTTGAATATGGATAAAGTGGAGAAGTAAGAAATGAAGGTACACCTACTCTATGGGACACAACAGGGCTCTGACTAGGAAGTTTTAGGCAAAGCATCTCTGTTCCCGTAATAAATAAAAGTATCAGGATTTCAACTATGAGGCATAAACTGGCCACCCATAAGACAGGAACAAGTGCAGAACAGGGGAGGAAGGCTGAGGTCACATGGGGGTGGGGCTGGAAAAGGACAGGGAGTGATTTCTTCTGAGTTACCTTTTCATCTATTGATTCATTTGTAAACAGAGGGTCAAAACAGCAAAGTGTGCTTTGGAACAGTTAAGAAGGAATAAGTCCAACTATACAAATATAAAATGGGAAACAACTGACTGAAGTTTGAGGCTGTTGAGGCTCAAGGACTCCAAGATGCTCACAATTGCTGCTAACCCACCAGCCCAGGTGACAAGCTGATGGCATAACCAGCACCTCCTACCCTTCTGTGCAATCTCAAACCTAGTAGGTCTGGCCCATGCTGTGTCTCAAGCTTCTGGGGCAGGAGCCCCAACGCTAGAAACAGCATGTGGCATGCATCTGGCCTCCTCAGAAAGACTTTCTGATTAGGGCAGATCTCCCTTCTGGTCACATTTTAGTTGTAATCAAGAAAAAACAGAAATGAAAACTGAGCTCTAACTAAACACTTTACATCAATTCTTTCACTTACTCTCCAGCAACTCTATAAAGTGAGTACATGCATCATTCCCATTTCACAGATGAAGAAACTAAGACAGAGACATATCATTTAGCTAGTAACTGTAGAGATGCCACTCAAATGGATGGTCTGAGCCTAGGGCCACACTCCCAAGTACCATGCTGCTGCCTGCCCTGGGCACACAGACAGAAGCAGCTGAATGGGAACCAACACCTGTGAAGTTTTTTAGAGAAAGCTAATGAGATGACAGGTTATCCTGCCAGGAGCCTGGAGCAAGGGAGTGCTGTCCAGTGGGGCTCCATACTCTCCAGGCTGTGAAGGGTAGTGAACTGGCCAGCTCACACTTAGCCAGACAGGAGCAACCCTCTTCTCCCAGCCTATACTGTGTCTGTGTGTGTCTCTATGGGTGTATGTTTGCAGGACTTGGCCAAAGCTGCTCAGTAATTGGGCCCTCAGCCATGCAGAGCCACTCCTCGTCAGGCTGGCCCACATGTGTGACCTGGTGAAAAGCCCCCAGAAGCTGTTGGGAGCGGTTAATGCAGCTGCAATGTGCAGGCTCAGGCGACAGGTGGCAGTGCAAACTTCAGCCTTGCCATGTTACCTGTGAGCCAGGAGAGCAGAGAGTTCCGCTTGCCAGGCGGACACCCGGCCTGGGTTGAAGGCACTGGAGCAAAAGAGGAGAAGGTCAATGATAACATGGAGATGGGGCAGGCCATGGAGCCACAGGGACAGAGGCAGGCCTGATGGGAGCCAGGCAGAGAGTGGGCAGCAGTGGAGAAAGGGACATGGGAGGCACTTAGGGCAGACCACCAAGCCCTGGGCAGCAAAGAGTAGAAGCTGGCCAAGTATGCCCTGTCATCTTACCTCCCTTCTGGCCACTGCAAGTGGGATCTGAGGGCCTACAGTCAAAGGACAGAGCCCAGAACTCTGCTCGGCCTCTGAAGCATACATGCAGAAAGAGAGCCTGGGGAAAGTCTCCCACAGCTGCATGCCCTTCTCAGCAAGATTTGCCCAAGCTGGATGGATGAGAGGCACTCTTGGGAGGGGCAGGGACAGGCGAATCCTCTCCAAGTCCAAGTTTTCTTTTTTTGTTTTTTGAGACAGAGTCTCACTTGTTGCCCTTCTTAGGGTACCATGGCATCGCAGCCCACAGCAACCTCAAACTCTTGGGCTTAAGTGATTCTCTTGTCTTAGCCTCCCAAGTAGCTGGGACTACAGGTACCCGCCACAAGGCCCGGCTATTTTTAGAGATAGGGTCTCACTCTTGCTCAGGCTGGTCTTGATCCTGTAAGCTTAGGCAATCCACTGGCCTTCGCCTCCCAGAGTGCTAGGATTACAGGTATGAGCTACTGTGCCCGGTCAGGCCCTGTGAGTTTTCCAGGCAGGGCCCAACTGCTCTGGAGCCAAGCTCTGGAGCAGCGGTTCTCAACCTGTGGGTCGTAACTCACAAGAACTGTATTAAAGGGCCGGAGCTTTAGGAAGGTTGAGAACCTTGGAGCCTCTGGAGCCTTGTCTGCCCTGCTCTGGGTGCCTGTGATACCCAGTTCATCCTACTGGAGGGACAGAGGACACAGTGTCAATATTTATGGATACTCTGGCCCCCCGGGATCATTTTTGCCAAAGAAAGAACAGTGACAGACACAGCACAGAGTTCCTCTAGGAGCTGTACACACACCCTACCAGAACAACCCATTCCCTAGCACCAAAGTGGACTTTTGCTTTCCACTCACAGCAACCCAGGACCCCTCTTCAAGGTCAGAGGGCTCTCATGGAGTGAGGGGTTGAGCTGGGTGAGACTTGGGCCTTGTACCCCAGCCACAAAGCATCTCTGCCAGGGAAGCCTAAGCCACCCAGAACTGGAGAGAGTACTGGGGCAGCCAGAGAAGTCCTTCCCTAAACCCTCCATAATACTCATAGAACGGTGCTCCATCCCCTCTTTGTCTGCTCTCAAGGTCCTTTGTTCTATCTAAGCAAAGGGCAGTGGCTGAGTACCCTGAAAGTACAAACCCATGTGCAACCCACCCTGGTACACAGGCCCTGGCCTGGTTCCCAACCATGGGCACTTTGGACACCTGGATTCTCCATCCCAGCCCTCACGAGCAGGACCCTGCAGCCCACTCCACCTGCCTCTAACTCTCCATCTGTGTCAGTGAAGGCCCTCAGCACTTGCCCTGCTGCTCCATTCTGCTCTTGCTATGCTTCCCCCACCCCAAGACTATTGACCACTTCCCATGTCCTATCACAGCCAAACATTGTCTACTTTGGGGGGCTCCTAACACACCCCCTCCTCCCCACGGTCCTCCTTCCTCACAGGCTGGTCTCACCCCCTCAGGAAATGTCTTCCACCCCCGCTAGGTTTTTGCTCAAAATCTCCCTCATTTCTTCCCCTCTATCCCCTGGGCTCTGTCCAAAGGGGCAGGCCACTGTGTTCTTCCTAGCTACTTCCTCAGGCCTCACCAGCCTCCCTATGCCCCAAGCCACCTGGCTATTAGACTCCAGGACTACCTTCAAATCTAGGTGTCAAGCGATGCCTCCCTGGCTCCTGGTGGGCCAGAGGGCAGCGCAGACCCAGCCCAGCTACTCACCAGAGGGGACAGAGGTCAGGGCCATGGTCCCGTAGTAGGAGAAGGCGCCCGTCTCAAACTTCATGTTCTCCTTCCCTGCCTCCACCTCCACCTTCCCCTGGAAGCACAGAGTGACAAAGAAAACACAATAGAGGCAGGAAACAAGAGATAAGACAGGAGGGAGAAGTGAGGAAGGAACAGGAAGGTGGAGCAGGAAGAGCACCGAGCCCTGACCTGTGGGTACAGGGGAGGGTGGGCCTTGCAGGCAAGCAGGGCTCGGAGGAGATATGTGGTACAGGAGGGGCAGGGCACAGCCCACCCAGGCCCAGCACCAGTGGTGCCTACCTGCAGGATGAGGATGAAGTAGTCAGCAGGCTTATTTCGGGTGTACAGGTAATGGAGGGCGAGGTACTTGTTGTGCTCATCAAACTTGAGTTCCTGAATGACGTCTGGGTACTTGAGCAGCCGTAGTAGGATTTTCTCTGATATCAGAGAGGGGCTAAACTGGGGAACCTCTGTAAAACAAGAGAGGGGAGATTCACACTGGGTCAGGTTGGGTGGCCCTCCAGCTCAGCCACTGCTATGCCTGCATCCAAACTGCAGCAGACCCTTCTGTGCTCTCTCCCTGCCCAGGCCTGCAGGTTCTGCGCCTCACTGGGAAGGGAGCACACATGACTTCTGTCTGGTCAGAGTCTGTCTGCCTGCTCAGGCTGGAACAGTGGCTCCTGCAGGAACAGTGCACTACCTTGGGCAAATTACTTAACCTGTGTCTCAGTTTCCTCATCTGTAAAACACAGATAAAAACTTCACAGGGTGGGAGGCAGGCACAGTGGCTCACGCCTGTAATCCTAGCACTTTGGGAGGCCAAGCAGGATGATAGATTAAGCCTAGGCTAGGAGTGCAACACCAAGCTAGACAACATAGGGAAACAGTCTCTACAAAATTTTAAAGGCCAGGTGTGGTGGCTCACACCTGTAATCCCAGCACTTGGGAAGCTGAGGCAGGTGGATTGCTTGGGCTCACAGGTTCAAGACCAGACTGAGTTAGAGCGAGACTTGTCTCTAAAAATAGCTGACATTGTAGCTGGTGCCTGCAGTCCCAGCTACTCGGGAAGCTGAGGCAAGAGAATCACTTGAGCCCCAAAGTTTGAGGTTGCTGTGAGCTATGACGTCATGGCACTCTCCTGAGGGTGACAAAGTGAGACTCTGCCTCAAAAAAAAAAAAAAAATTTAAAAATTAGCCAAGCAAGGTGGCTTGAGCCTGGAGGTCCAGCCACTCTGGAGGCTGAGGTGGGAGGATCACTTGAGCCCAGGAATTCAAGGCTTCAGTAACCTAAGATTAGGCCACCTCACTCCAGCTCCGGTGACAGAGCAAGACCCTGTTTTTGTCAAAGGAAAAAAACTTCATAAGGTGGGTAGGAGAGTAAATGGGATACCATGTGCAAAACTCTGAATAAATGCCACTATAATTATTATCATTACCAGGAGGAAAAGTAAAGGAGAAAGAAATATTCCACCATTAACAAGTGAGGGGTGGGGGCTCAGCGCCTGTAGCTGGCAGGTTAGAACCCAGCCTGGGTCCTGCCAAACAACAATGACAACTACAATCAAAAAACAAATAGCCGGACATTGTGGCAGGTGCCTGTAGTCCTAGCTACTGGGAGGCTGAGACAAGGGAATCACTTAAACCCAAGAGTTGGAGGTTGTTGTGAGCTGTGATGCCACGGTGCTCTACCAAGCAACATAGTGAGACTATGTCTCAAAAAAAAAAAAAGTGAGGAGTGGGAAGGGAGGGGAATTGGTGGGGAGGGCATGAAGTAGGTAGGTGTTATCTAATCTGTCACCCAGACTCCCAAGGAAGCTTTGAATCAGGGGTGATGAGAGAAATGTCACTAATCTAGAGGTAAGTTCCTGAAAAAACTAGCACACACAGGCAGAGGAGCAGCCGGAAAGAATAAGAACAGAACTGTACACAGGCTCTTCGGAGTGCGTGAGCAGGCGAGGGGTATGTGCTATACTGCAGGACTACAGCCTGAGGACTGGCCACTTTCCTTCCTACTCCACAAGCCCTGACTAACTGACAAGCCCAGGGACTAAATGATGCTTCTTAGATGCTGGCAGTGGTAGCCCATTCACAGCAGACAACTTGCTGGGAGAGCCCTGGGGATGCAGGAGATGCCTGGCCCCTCATCTCCAGGCAAGGGGGAGGGGAGAACCCACGCCCTCTCCCTCCATGACCGTATTTCCAACAACACAGGAAGGTCTTCCTCACGTTCTTACCTGTGGCCAGGAAGCGATGAGCAGCCAGAAGGAGCTGAGGGGAAATTTTCACTTTGAGTTCACTGTCAGTATCCTTGAAGGCTGAGAAGTCCCGCTTGTTCTTCTGAGCCACCCGTTTCCGGCTTCGGTTGTCAGCTGCCAGAGGAAGAACATGGAGTCCCCTGAGGACTCAAGAAGAGACTGGGACCTGCTCACCCGACTCCTGCTCTCCAGCCCCCTCTGGTCCCACAGAGGAGCAGCAGGCTTTGGCCAGGCAGGGGCCTGCGTTGATGCCAAGGCAGAAGGAAGACGGGGAGATGGGGGGCAGGGGAATGGTGGCCTCCTCTCACTGCTTGCAGCAACATGCTCCTTCTCACCCTGGCCAGAGTAGGGTACCTGGTCACTGGCCCATAAAGTGCTAGGAACCCCTGTGTCCCTCTACCCAAAGGCCTTTCCAACTAGGGACACCAGATTTCAGATCCCAGCAGAAAAGAGATGTTGGGGCCTGTGGAGAGGGCTGAACTCACTGAACCTGTCCGACTCGTCCAGGATCTCAGACTTGATGATCTCCTCGATGACATCCTCCAGGGTGACCAAGCCCAGGACCTCGTAGAAGGGGTCGCCCTCGCCTTCATTGTTCACCTTCTGCACGATGGCCAGGTGGGACTTCCCTGTGGGGACAATGAAATGAGTCAGACGAGAACACAGGGCCAGGGATAAGACTCCCTCCACCAAATGAGAACACATCTAAGGTCATGAGTCACTGGGTGAGGTCATGGTGGTTTTTCCCTTTTCCATATTTTCTGGTTTCTACTGCAAACAGATATTGCTTTTATGAGAAGGAAAACCAAAAGTATTTTTAAAGGCATTTCATTAAGGACATAAATAGGATGAAAACGGCAAGGCCTTGCCTTGTGCTGTTTTATCAGGGGCTCCTCAGACTCTGGGGATTCATTAAGGACAT